CCATGATGTCACTGGATAAGAAGGGCTGTGGAGAACTTACACAAAAATAAATCTGGTATTTTGGAGCTGTTACTAGACACTATACTGCATAAATCATTTGGACTTTCTGAACAGATGAATGGTTAGATGCACACTCCTGCAGTAGGAGGAGTTGAGAGGTTGCACCTTCAATCATTGGCAAGGTGACTTCCCTACATCTCCAACAAGGTTTTAAATTTGACCTAGGCCGCCCTCCATTCTGCAAGGCAGTTATTAGTGAACACCTTAAAGGTAATATACGGGTAAACTAAACCCTGGTTTGTTAGGGTTGTAGCTAATTTTTTTTTTTTTTTTTAGTTTTGTATTAATTTAAAGTGATAAATTCCATTAGCAGAACTCTAACTTCTAGGATTTAATTTACACTCTAATTCTCACGAGAGAAAGGATGTTGACCAAACTGGAAGGAGTACAGAAAAGAGTTACAAGAATAACAGGGGTCTGGAAAACATCCTTTCTAGTTAGATTAAAGAAGCTCAATCTATTTAATCAAAGAGCAGGTTAAGAGGTAACTTGATCATGGTCTGCAAGTTCCTATATGGGGACAAGATTTCCTAGAGTAGACAGCTCTTGAACCTAGTAGAAAAAGGCCTAATGAGATCGAATGGTTGGAAGCTGAAGCTAGACAGGTTCAGACTAGAAATAAGTCACAACTTTCCCACAACTTATCTAGGGATGTGATGGTTTCTCCGTCACTTGCAGCCTTTAAATCGACAGTGTCTTTCTAAAAGAGATGCTATTGCTCAAACCTAAGTTATGGGCTCGGTGCAGGAATTACTAAGTGAAGTTCTATGGCCTGTGTTATGCAGCAGGTTGAATTAGAGTATTATAATGGTCTCTTCTGGCTTTAAAATCTATGAAACTCCTAATTGCTGGGAGTTGTGTGGCTAAAACCCTTCTAAGCTTTGGAAATTTCAACCCAGGTCTCTGCTTCCAGGAGATTACAAGCAGGGCTGGCTCTAGGCACCGGCGCTCCTTTTTTTTTTTTGCTTGGGGCACAAAAAGCCGGGAGCCGGCTCTGAGCAGAGGTGAGCTGCGGCAGTGGGAGGCATGGGGAAGGCCGCAGGAAGTAACCCGTGGCGGGGGGGGGCAGAGGAACTGCTGTTTGCGGCAAGCCTGGGAGGGAGGGGGTAGGAGGGGAAAT